GACACTCCTTAAAAGTTGTGAAAAATCTAAGTACTCAAAAATATCGCCTTTAACTACACTTAAATATTCCAAAAATCAAAATTTGAATATATGCATAATTTAAGCATAAAAAYRGGGYGAGCATGCTTAAAAAATCACCCTGTATATTCTTAAAAAAGCTTTTATCAATGATTTTCTATTGTTAAATTACCCAAGTCTTAAATGAGCCAAATCTCTTTTACTATAATATTAAGTAGGTATGCTCAAATTAATTTACATCACTTGAAAAATCGGGGAACTAATAAATTATTTTATTTCGTTTTTTTYCCCTAACTAGATTAGAAAAATTCAACAGACATGTTATTAAGGCCAGCACCAGTAGACTTTAAGGAAAAGTGGAAACCCTTAGAACATACTATTAAGAGTATTTTAAGACTAGACACAATTCCTAGGGATATTTGGCATGCACGTTTCAATGATATTTATGCTTTATGTGGGGCCTTCCCAGAGCCTCACTCTGATAAACTGTATAATTCAACGAAGTTATTACTAGAGACTCATGTATCTGAAATTTTGCCACTTATTCAATCTGAAGATACTGAAAATCAGTTACAAAATTATTGTACACATTGGCAAAATTATAGTAAAGGTATCAAACTCCTAGAGCCAATGTATCAGTATGTATTTGTTTTTATCTAACATAATATAATAAAGTATTTATGAAATACTTATGAAATACTTATAAAATTMATTTCTAGGTACTTTAATAATACAATTCATAAACCGTATAAGTTAAAATCATTTTGTAAGGCAGATCCAGATGAACCTAAACTGATGGAGGTTGGAGAATTAGGACTTGACATATGGAAGCGCATTATAATCGTACCATTGAAAAATAGCATGCCCAAATTATTATTGGATGGTTTTGACAAACCGAGATATAACTTATCTATAACCATACCTTTGGAAACCATTGCTGTTATTCTAAAATCATTTGTTGAAGTCCAGGAGTACAATAAAAAACGCAAACTTGAAGTAAGTATTTATATTTATTTGACATAAAATAAAAAAGTAGGTATTCAAAATTAATTAAGTATTAATTTAATTAATTCTTATTTTTGATTAGCTATATCAAAGTTATTTTGAGCAAGAATTTTTGGACCAAACTAGTGTTTACTTTGAACTTGAATCAACAAAATTGTCAGAAGAATTTACAGTTACTGAGTATATAGTTAAAGTATTGAAAATAATGAATGATGAAGAAAATAGATCAAAACAATATCTTCATGAAAGGTGCATTAGTTTTCAAATATTAATGTTATAATGACAAAAATAATATTTAGTATTATTTTTCATAGCACTTATGACAAACTGAAATCAAGATTTGGTAAAATTATGATTACTGATCATTTAGATTTTTTACATGGAGAATCTGAAGCTATGCTAAAAGAAAAACGATATAAAGAGATGCACAATATGTATTTACTTCTACKTGAAGTTAAAAATGGATTCGCCTCATTACCTGACACTTTCAGAGAAATCATAAAACAACAGGGAATGAAGGTTCTTGAATCTTTAAAAAAAAATCAAGTATGTAATGAATAATTATTTTTAAGTACGATTTGCAATAACATAATGTCATATACTTATATTTATATATATTTATACATATATAGATACATGTAGCTTTTGTTGAGGATATATTGGAGTTACATAAAAAATACAAATCTATAGTCTTAGATGTTTTCAATAATGATTTTTACTTCAGTAAAGCTCTTGATACAGCATTTACAATAATTGTAAATTATAAACAAGAAGAAAATCAGCCATCGAAGGCCCCAGAATATTTATCAAAATACTGCGATAAATTACTGAAAAAATCATGTAAAGGMATGAGTGAAGCTGAAATTGATGATAAACTATTTCAGTCTATGACAATATTTAAGTATATAGATGATAAAGATGTATTTCAAAACATCTATCAAACGCATCTGGCCAAACGTTTGATACTTCAACAAAGTTTGTCTACAGTAGGAGAAGAAGGGATGATCAACAACTTAAAAGTAAATCAATCGAATTTTTTAAGTATGTATTATGTTAATTTAAATTTTTTTTAGCAAGCTTGTGGTTACGAGTTTACAAACAAATTACATCGAATGTTTACTGATATCAGAGTATCAGAAGAATTAAATACAGAATTTCAGAAAGAATGTGGTAAAGACACTAAAGATGAATTAAATTTATCTTTTTCTGCAAACGTATTGCAAACCGGAGCTTGGCCTTTGATATTATCTACCAAATCATTTGTTATTCCTGGACAACTGATAACATGTTCACAAAATGTAAATATATAAATATCCCTATGTACTATATTACTAATACCTATCTGTTAATACAACAAAATGTATGTTTTTAGTTTGAAATTTTCTACAAAAAAAAATTTGTTGGACGCAAATTAACATGGCTTCATCACCAATCGCAGGGTATTTTTAATTTATTACCTAAGTTATTATTGAATCCTTATATTTTATTAAAATTTATTTATTTATTGTAAAAATAGGCGAGTTAAAATTGAATTATTTACCAAAAATGTATATAGTGACACTGCATATGTTTCAAATGTCGATTTTGTTACTATTTGAAGACTGTAATACATTGAAATACTCTGACATTAACGAGACACTACAATTAAACGATAATCAGTTTCAAAAATTGATCAATAGCTTGGTAGATTGTAAATTGTTATTGATTGATGGTGATGTAAGTAATCTGATTAAACTGGTTCAATTATAATTTACATTTCTATAATGCTATTTATTCATTATTTCAAGAATGTAAAATTGAACATGGACTTTACGAATAAGCGTACTAAATTTTGCATAACATCAGCTGTCCTAAAATATATACCGCAAGAGATTGAACAGTCTGTTAATTCTATCAACGCTAACCGTGAATCATACTTACAGGCTACTATTATTCGGATTATGAAAATGCGTAAAACATTGGGGCATAATAAACTAGTGAATGAGGCAAGTAAAATATAGGAAAATGTGTAATATTAAATAAGATTTCATATTAACAATAGGTATCATTGTATTTTAGATAATTTCTCAAACGAAATCATTTATGCCATCCACCTGCCTTATAAAAACAACCATCAAGATATTAATTGATAAAGGGTATCTTGAATGCACCCCAAATTTACCCGATGAGTACAATTATGTTGCTTAATATATTTAATATATTTTTATAAATATACAAATCTTAACTTAATTATAAATTCATAATAATTCCCCAAATATTTTTTTTCAAAAAGATGTTTGAATCATGCCTCATTGATATTTTTTTAAGGTATGTTTATGTATTTAAAAACTTTATACTGTGTGTCAATATTAAAATACTTATTTATTATAATCTTTTTGACATTGTAGATCATTTAGATAATTTAATGCCGTATATTATATAATATTAGTTATCAGAAAGTGTGATTCTTGTTGTATTGTTATTACCTAGCCAATTGTCAATTCAAATAGAGTCTAATGATAGGATGTTGATGACCAAAAATGCCACATAAAAACTACAAAAAATTAATTTAAAATATTACCAATTAAATTGGTGAAAAAATTATAATTGTTATTAAGATTATGGTGTGATTATAGGTCAAGAGAATTTTAAGATTAATAGACAATAGTAAAATATTAGTTCAATTTTTTAAGCTTACCTTTTAGGTAGAAAAAAATATATGAATTACTATAAACAAATTAAATAGTAAAATGGAAATGAAAACAATTCATATTAATATAACAAAAACCCACAAATCTAAAATTTGAAATATGTCCCATTTTTTATAAGATCTAAAATAATGTTATATAATAAAWAAAATAAAAAAATAATGTAAATTAAAAAACAAAATAAAATAAAAACAATTCAAAATCAAATTAGCACATTCTGAACCAAAGGATCATGAAACAAATCGTCAGCTAAAACAACATTTAATAGGATCAGAGGAAWAAAATATCCAAAAGTCATCAACATCCTATATCTACGGTTTTGACATWGTTTTAAACCTTTATTATCTTTTATTGTTTAAAAATGTTAAATGGTTAATGTAATATGTTGTTGATATAATAATAATTGATACAATATGTGWGTTTAATATTTATCATTTTTGTGAAAATAATTGTGTGTAYCAACTTTAAATGGCATAAAATAWACCTTTTCAGCCGTATAATTGCTGTGTAAAAAATCGTTGATTTTCAGAAGTAGAATAATATTATTTTGATCATAAAATCAAATAAATGCTTGTTTAATCTTTTTAATAAATGTTATAATAATGTTTATGTTAATACTTCTGATAGATATATTTAGATATTAAATTATATCAAATCATTAAGTCTTAATAAGTTAGTAATTAATTATTAACTATATGTCTATATCCCAAATMAACTACTTAGGRCCAATATATGATAGTGATAATGAAGTGTCTTTAGTTTATTATATTATACTGTATAACTTTCTCAACTATTATGAAAATCATAAAAATTCAAATGATAATGAAAAAACATTGTTAGATGCCTTCACATAATTTACTACACTTAAAACGAGTAAATGTTATGCGTGTTGGAAGTGATCAAAGTAAAGTTCACTTAAATGTTCTGCTATTTTAACTACTTCTTAACAATATTACATTATGTTTTTTCTTCATGATACTTTTTCTGATATTTATTTTCAGAATATACAATATAGTGACCCACACTCAACTACATGTGCACTGTACAGTAAAGTGGTAGGTACCCACTTGCTCACTTTTTTATTGTTTCTCGATAATGAAATTATATACTTTGTATAAGTACAAATATTAAATTAAYATATAAATAAAAAATGTACCCTTCTAAAAGTTTATATTTTGAAGTATCTACATACMTACCTATTAATTATTTATTTCAATTATSCTATTATAATATGTTCAACCTATACTAAATATAAGGAACTAAGAGTACCTACTGTGAAAGTGTGAAACAAACATTGCTTTGTATAATAATATGTAAATTGAGTATTAGGTAACCATCATACATTTTACTCAATAACAATAATTGTTTTTTCTCGTTGGAGGTTTTATGTATTACTATTATTTTTTTTGATTTAGTGATAAATTATGTAAATCCATCTATTATTCATATAATAGGATACTAATCATAAAAACAGTTGTAATTCAGTTTAAATCGCTGAAAGTTTCATACCAAAAACCCTAA